TAGACTGCTCATGTATTACCTCCTATTTATCACATACATCATACCTACTGTGCTTGCTCTAGTCCCTGTGTCAGAAATTCAGACATTCCAGATGAAATGCAGACAGATAACATTTTGACAACATGGTGCCATTATCAGATACCTCTGTGTATCGGTGATCTCTCTTCATATGTTTAATGGTGGGAAATCTATTTGGGATGCATTTGTGAAAATTCCGTGTCTCTCATTTTCCTATGTCAGCAGCTATATATCTGTATAGTCAGAACAGAAAGAAGTAAGGAGGGAACTGATATTCTGACACTGGCTGGACTGAATCACTTGAAACATCATGGGACTGCTGCTTTGGAAACCGTGTTAACATATGTGCTGTGACAGTGGCTTATATGGAGTGATGTTATGGTTCAGCCTCTCATAGTTTGTGAGATTTCAGAAAAAAATTACTCGAAGAACCCAAATAAAAACTAAAACTAAATTGAACTGAACTAAACTAATCCCAAACCAACTCCCATCAAAAGAAAGACACACATGGCAAAAAATAATGTATCCTTAAGGTTGTATTCATTAAATTAGAATATTTATGGATGCTTCTGTTTCTTTACTGGTATATTAAAATCTGTAAGAAGTAAAAAATTGTTGTTATGAATTTACTTAAAGAAACACTATTTCCAGGTGTGAGCATCCCCATTTACAAATCACATAGCTAATTTAAAATTTAGACAGAAAAATTTGTAATTGCAACAAAGTGACAGTACCTTCTAATTTATATCATTTAAGTAAGTTTTATTTAATAATGATTAAACAAGAAAGTCTTCTCTCTACCAAATTGTTCTCTAAATTGAGCATATCATTGTGTGAAATGTGCACTCGAATTCAGACTCTTTACAGCTTTACTTGCAGATATAGATTAGGCTATTTGAAAGCTGTTTCCATGAAGAGCCAGAGTTGAAGTTGAAAATCATCCTTTTAACAATTCTATTTATTCAATGCCTTTCTTTTAGAACATTTCACCTTTAGTTAGAACTCCATCCAAAATATATTATAAAACTCACATTGATTAATATAAAGGAAATTGAAAGTTGACTACTTCACTCTACATATTTTAAATCAAGTAATATCTTGATTATGTCACACCATACAAAATCATAAACATTAATGCTTATTCATATACAAAAATGCTTCAGACTTTAGTAACCTATTGTCTTGGTACCACTATTCTTCTTAAAAGGACAATTACATTTAAAATAAATAAATAAAAACTAAATAAGTAGAATAACTATAGTTTTAAGACAAACATAAAAGACTAGTGAGTTTTGAGTTAATGCAAAGAGATAGAATTAGGTTATTTTTGGTAGGATTCAGAAATAATTTTGGTAATTTCCACACCCTGCTCTTTTTCAATATATATAAAGCAATGCATTCAAGCATCTCAAATAAGTATTTAGAAATTGTATCATTGTCTAAAAGCTCATCTTTTATATACACATGCTTAAAAAGATTTTGAAGACCATTGAATATTGGCCTCCTATCTGTTCCACTTCCACTCCACTTTAACTTTTCATAATTTTCAGCCCATCATTATGACGTATTCTATCCCAAAAGGACCTCCTAAACTGCATATTATTCTCCTAAAAATAAGTAGATTTGTTACCTGAAAAATTGCAAATTAGCAGTGATTTAGTTAGCAGGGATAATTAAGCATATGTTCATTAATATTGTCAGGAAATAACATGTAGTGATTTGATCCTTGCTGCTGAAAAATTAAATGTTACAGAGACATTGAAGGGTGTGCATTTTTGGAGGTGTCTTATTTGAAATATATTGATGAATTTTCTCATTGTTTGTATGTTTCCCTTCAGTGTCACTAGCATTGTTTATCTCAAATGACAAAGTGACATTGTCAGTTGTTATATGACACTACTGAGTATTTTGAACACAAATTCTAATTACAAGACTATATCAACACATGAAATTTTTGGTGATGTAGCTACAGTTTCTGTGTTCATGACAATGTGACTGTCTTGTTGATTCTCAGCACTAAGTCAGTTCAAGCATAATCAGAGATTTTTCAGTGAAAATTCCACATTGCCTTCCAACTAGACAAAAGAGAAGTTTTAAATAATTTATGCAATTTTTACCTCTCAACAAAACCTTTTCAATACTAGAATATTATCTTATACCTTAGAGAATATTTGTTAGATGGTGTTTAATTTTAAATTTTCTTAGTGTGGGCAAGAATGGTTAACATAGCACATGGCGAACAAATTGGACAAATAAAGTTAAGGAATAAACAGTTTATTTATATTGCTCACAAAAGTATTTTGGCATATGGCATATTCTTCTTCCTTATGTAGCCACATAGAAGAATGCATGCAAAAAGGTAACTTTGTTTTTTAAATGGCGTGAAGGATATTAGTCATTTTTTCTGAAGTCATTGACATCACATTTCAGTATACATTTGAAAAGTTCTCTATTATAAACTGTTATCAAAGCATAATAAATTTCCATCTATGTATATGGATTTTGCATGTGTAAAGATAAACCACTATGAATTACATATTCAAAAATTAAAATTCCAAATCACAAGTAGTGAAACAGTATTAGACACAATTTACTTTAATTCATTAATTATCAGTTACAGAAGGCATTATCTGGTCAATTTAGAAAGTATTAGGAAGATCAGGAAATTAAAACCATATCAAATTCAGAGCAATTATAATTATATATTAAAGAAAGAGAAAATTAAGATCTAGATTATTCATTGTTCTGGTTTGGGGGGTTTTTTCACAAAAATATATTTCCATAAAATATAACTCTAACCAGTATCATTCTGGTGATAAGTATTATTAATTAAGTATCTGCTGTGCAGCAGAGCTAGGTGGTTTTTCAAAATAGTAAGGAGTTTTACTTTACAGTAAACACAAACATTGGCTTTAAGGATTTTGTTGTACTTGTGTGGACTTGAATGAAAAGCATGCTAAATGCAGAGATACTCCACCTACAACACTGTGGTGAAAAAGTTGACTGAAAGGCATATGAGATGCAGAAAAATATGTTGAATTAGTACATTTAATTTTCTGTATCACTAATTATTTCTAAAATGAGCATATATATATATATATATATATATATATATATACACACACACATAATATACACATAACTATATAGATGTGTGTATCTTTCAACCATTAATTGTATTTTTCTGTAATCAGAGAAATCATTAAAGGTGTATTTTGAAGACAAGGACATTATTATTGTTGTTATTATTATTATTATTAGTTATAATTTGAGTGAGGTTTTGTTACCTATCTCATTATTCATTCCAAATATCAAAAGTCATGATAAACAAATTTAGAAAGAACTGTAAATTATGCATATTTGAGACTGGTGCTGTAGAAAGTGGTTTTTTAAAATGCTTGAATAATTTTGAATTAAAATTGAACACATTTTTTTTTCTCAACAGTATGTTGACTGAAGTTAAAATTATTGAAGTTAAAATAAAAGGAATAACATTTAGTATGCCTTTGAGAGAATAAGTGTTCACAGCATGGACACAAAACCTCATCTTTCTGAGAGAATCTGACAAATAGGGATTAGCAATAATTAGGAAGTCACATTTTCCTTGGCCTATTATGTTGGGATTTTAAGGTAGTCTGGGGTTACACTTAGCATTAGCTTGTGACAAGTGTGACAAGAAGTGTAACAAGTTAAAACAGAAGCCACATGAATCTCACACAGACAAATCTTCTTGCCTCAGCATTAATGTGCAGGGGTGTCACTGTTTATGGGTATATAAGGGATGGTAGCAGGCTGACCAATAAACTTGGTTGTGTGCCTGTCCTTGACATACCAAGTACCTTGACCATGTGTTAAATTCAATTAATTACAGGCTTAGCAAAACCATTTTTTGTCTCAAAAATTCTTGTCAATGAAAAATATGTAACAGAAATTGCACATATGAAGAAACAGAGAAAATTTCTACCACACAATTAGCTTAAATAACTCTTAGAGGTTTCATGTTTCATGACACATGTCTTACTGGAACTTGCGACCTAGCGCAGAAAAGCAGATAAAAAAATTGTTTGATGTGCAGGTCTTTCATTGTCAAAACAGTCCCTGTGGATAATTACGGTTTTGAATAGAATAATTATAATTTTCTTAGTGCCTGTATTTTGCATTATGTAGGGGCATTAGCTGGCCTACCGAGAACTTACAAGCACATCCCTGTTTCTTTCCTATATAATATGACCTAAAGCCCTTTGTACTAAAAATGCCAGAACATATTCCTAAGCATATGGCTTGAAATGAAATAAAATATGATAAAATAAAATATAAAATAAAATATGTAAGTGTTCAGAAAATACTTTGTTTCAAAGGCTGCTGACCAGATATTTTCTTCTTTCATGCTTTATAATTCTCTTTTCTCATGAGTGCCATTTTTGACACTAGATATTTCTTCAAAAGTATCATGGGTGTGTTTATATGAGCAATATATCTGTTTTGCAATACTGAAATGCTTTTTAAATAACTTTTTTTTCTTCAAAGTTAGCAGGAGTTGGAGGTCTTGAAATCAAATTCAATTGCTATCAGAATAAAAAAATCAGAATTGACTGCACTTTTTCAAAGTATTTACAGCTGCTCATCTGGCATGCATTTTGCAAATGTTGATGGGAAAGATGTATGCCATCTAAAAAATATCTGAATTTGAAAGTTAATGTTGCAGCATCAACACTTCATAGCACCAGAAATGAAAATACCCCATGGTCCTTACCTGTATCTCAAGTTTCGTGCAATGATAATTAGGTATTTCTCACATGTGTAATACATACAACCATGCATACATATCCTATTTTGGAGCTCTTTTATGTTTATTGATTTGTTTTCTGAGCATGTTCAATTCGAAGACAAAGCAGTCAGACATTATAGTTTAGAAAAAAGGAGAAAGACTGCAGAGAGCAACTTGTGGATTTCTGATGGACCTTTTTTGCTTTTCTTTCCAGGTGACTTTTACGAAGAGGAAATTTGGGTTAATGAAGAAGGCTTATGAGCTTAGTGTTCTGTGTGACTGTGAGATTGCCCTAATCATCTTCAACAGCACCAACAAACTGTTCCAGTATGCCAGCACGGATATGGACAAAGTGTTGCTGAAATATACGGAGTATAATGAGCCACATGAGAGCCGAACAAATTCAGATATTGTTGAGGTAAGACTTTCTGTTTTGGTCTGAGATGGACATGCTCCAAGTAGACTATACCTTCAAGTGACAGAACAAAACAGTGGTGTATTGGAGGTGACAAAGCAGGAAATCCACATCTTTTGTGAGCAGTTTTATCCTTCTGAGAAACTTCTGCAAAGGGATTTCTGCTCCCTATTTTCCAGGTTTCTGTGCTGCTTTGTCACTTTGTTGCATTAATCCTCTCCATGCCTTGACCACTACCTACCAGCTGAATCTTTAGAAACAGCTGACATGTTTAGAAACTTTTGTTGGTGGAATTTGACTGCTTCTTTTACCTTTTTGATTGCTTACAGAAGGTGTCTAATAAAATGCAAAAGAAAAGTTGGTTGACAATCTGCACAATAAAAATATATCGGCTACTCACACAGAATTATTACTGTTACTATTATTGTTACTATAATATTAATAGTCACAGTATCAAAGAAATAGTGTCAGAATGCTAGAAACACTGTTTTTTTTTAATTATAAGGAGCAGGTTTTTATTTACAATCACTGAAAATTATTAATTTAAGTTTAAAATTTTAAAATTTAATATTCTAATATTTGTAGAAAATTCAGTTTACTTCTCAATCCCATTTGGATTCAATCTATGCAAAATATATGAAACCTTCAATGATCTTCCTGTTATTAACAAAGCACTCATATCTTAGACAGATATCTAAAAAATGGGTTATGTGACCTATAGAACTTCTGTTTTTAAAGTGCATGATATAATGGTATCAATTAAAAACATAATAGAAGGATGATGACATATCTTAAGGTCAGTGAAAATGTACTCCTGAATATGTTGATGTATATACCTAGTTTACTCCAGATTATAAAGTTAGTTTCAGATTTTTGAATGATCTGGATGTTGTCTGAAATACAACTTTGATACTTTTGGAATCTTCACCAGGGTTAGTCATGTTTTTGAGACTAGCAATATAAGATAGTGAGTTATTTATACATAAAATATTTAAAAGGATACGAAGTTCTGTATAATAAGGATTTTTATACTTGTTGCAGAGTCCCAGTTGCTCCACCTTAGATGGGCAAAGACTGCACACAGGAATATATATCACTTCTCTTTCTATCCTTATGTCAGTATCTAAAAAGTTACTCTTTTGCTTCCCTCCTTATTTCCCTCAGATTCTGTCCCCATTGGAAAAGGGCAAGGTTCTGACAGCAGAAAAAAAATGTATATGAGTTAAGACTAGAAGGAAAGCGCATAATTTCTTCCTCCTCTCCATCATTTCTTTTCCTTCTTACTTAAGGTCTTTTGTCTAGACATAAAGCCTTTCCTGCCACCCAGATCTGGGAAGTCCAAAAGAATTCAAAGTCTATGCCCAGAATAAAGCCCTGTCCTCTTTTAGTGGCAAATGGCCAGAATATTCTTAGCAGAAGAATTTCCTGTGATCTTTTCTTTTTCCTACAGGCTTTTTTGTGGAAATAGGTGAAAATCGAGTTAGAGATTTATTGATTGCTTTACAATGAATTAATGCTTTTTATCATAAGGACAATGGTTTTCCAGTAATCTTGAATGAAAACTTAAAATTACAAATAATGTTGAAATTTTCAGAAAGAGAATTCACTGGACCAGCAAATTCCCTTTCTGCATAAACAGTGGGCCAATTTGGATAGGTTGATCAGCAGTCTATCTATACCCAAAATTTGGTGGGCAACTCTTTTCTCTTTTCTAGAAGGAATATAAAAATTGAAAGAAACATTATTTAAATTGAACAATAGACATAAAAGGCCAAATTAAGTGAATGCTCTATCAGCTCTCAGTTTGATTTTCTGTTACATTTTTCTATGTTCTGTCTGTAACATAAAATATTTAAACCATATCAGTACTGGTACAGTTTAAGAATCCAAGGAGTCCTTCTCCAGCACGTAGGTTTTGAACAAGAATTCCATATTATTCCAATGCCTTTAATGGATAATGAACATCACAGTTACAAGTACAGTAGAGGATAGAGCTTTGATAAATACCTTGACTCTTAGTGCAGTTTGGGTATATTTTCAGGTACAGGATAAAAATCTGCTACACATTTAAGCATTTTAATTGATCCATTAAACTGATCAATTACACATTACACATATTTTCCTTGTAAGGAGTCCATCTTCTTTTCTATTTCAGGCAGCTAGATTTCACACATAAAAGTTTTTAATCTTGTCTTCCAGAGCAATCAACAGCAGCTGAGAATTAGCCAATATTATTGAATCTGAACATTTTAAACTAAATGTCTATTCCATAACTATATTTCAGCAGAAGATAAGGCCATAGCTCTGCTCATAGATTTCTGCACAGTATTCAAGAAAGAAAACTTTTTTAGGCAGATTATGAAAATTTGAAATATAATCATAACCATAGAAAGTCTTCAATTTAGTATCTGATTCCTGTTCACATTCAGCATTAATATTAACTATTTAGTTACTTTTAAGTTGTGGTAGAACCGTTTTATCTGTCATTAAAATGTGGTGTCAGTTCTTTGAACTACTATATTCAAAGAAATTTAAAAGAACAGCTCTCTAATATGTAGTTAATTTCTTTTAAGTTAAACCACTGTTATTCAAATACCAAAATTACATAACTTTTCTTGTAGATCTGGCTAAACCTGTTAATTTTATTAACCAAAGGTTTTCAATATAATTAGTGGGATTAATTATGTTAAGCATTTATGAAAAAGTGAGTCTTCAGGCCATAACTTGTTACTTAAAGTAACAAGTAAAGAAGAAAACACATTCATATATCTAACATCACACTGCTTTTTAACAGAAAATTTAAACCCAATTTAGAGGTATATGATATCAATAAATCTATCTTGAAAAAAAATGGAATGCTAATAGAGAATTATAAAGGCCAGTTACTGCTATTCTTTGAGGTTTTCTGGCTTAATGATTTAAAAGAGCTCTTACTTTCTTTACATATGTATAAATTTTATTTGCATGCAATAAATATAACTAAGATGATGTTTCCAGTTGCTTCATCAAAGCAAAGTTGGTTAACATGCTATTTGATATATCTGAGTTCTTCACATCACAAAATTGTCTACCAGGTGAGTGTGTTTCTGTTAAGACCCAGTAAATATGCCTACAACATACATGGGCAAGTAAAGGTCAATAAGTACTCGTGAAGGAGAAAATATATGCTTTCTACACTCACATTTATCCATTTCAAGCAACAGTTACAGTTATTGAGCATGGAGCTATGCATTAACATATGGGAAACAAATAAACCAAACAAAAAAAGCTAACAAAACAAAATCAACCAAACAAAAAAGGTATATTCTGAAACTTATGTTTAGCATTAACTGGATTCTTAAATTTGAAGCCATTATGCCCTCACCCAAACTATTCATACAACAGACATTAATTCAATTTTCCTCCTGTTAAAAATTGAGCATTAATTGCTGGATTTAGTAAATCTTTTAAGGAACAGCAGAAACTGTGGTGAATTCACTTAACACAAAGGAGAACTATAACATTTCATCTTTATGCTAACCTCCAAGTCTGTATGTAAGTTCCAACAATAATATGTCCAGCATAATTGTATAAGACTATGCAATAACTTACTTTTGAAAGTAGGGAAGAAAAAAATGTCAGCATTTTACAACAATCAAGTACAGTCAATACATTATGTATTCTTTGGATTTATTAGAAATAAGGCCAGACCCTTTTCTTGTTTCCATAAAACAGAAGTGGATGTATCAAAACTTATTTTAGTGATAGCTCACTGCTGTGATTAACAATAATCCAGTTCTGCAACACTGTAAACTCACTACTTAGGAGCTCAGGAAGGACCTCAGCCTTAGATGGAAGGGTTCAGATTTCAGAGCAGGAATCTGGGGAAATGTTTTGTTGCAAATATAATTAAAAGTCTAACTATGCTACAGAAATCTGTTGTGATTCTTCATCTAAGCCATCAAGTCTTTGCTGATTTAAGCTGAAATCTGCCGGTTTTCTCTCTCATTGTCCCTTTTTCCTTCTCATTTCTTTCATTTCAAAGCATCAGCTACTGTCTTAGCTTTAGAAGACCTCTAGTAGTTTTCACTAACTCTTGGTTTTGACTCTGTCTCTGGTGTACTGAGTTTAATATTCTGACCCTTGCTCTGTGTGCACATAAAACATTCTTCCACAAATCACCCACTACTTTAACTTTCAGCTCTTTTTAAACCCTCAGTCCATCAGTTTATTTGACCCTGCTGCTCTTTCTCCACCTGACTTCTCTTCATCTGCTGATTCAGTGGTCACTACCTTTAGTTCAAGTTCCCTTGCTAGGTCATCCCTTTCAAATTCATCCCTATCTCCCATTTTCAGGCAAACATTCATCCATCTCCCCAGTTCCCCTTACCATACCACTAATCACTAAGAAAAAAGCAAACCGCAGACTTCATTTATCTTTCTCTTTGCTAACTGAGGTTCTGTGTTATAAATGCTAATCATTCACCAAGTATCTTAATTTTGTGAAGTTCACTGCATAAAACTGCTAATTTGTATGCATGCACAGACATCTCTGTGATTTTTGCAGGTCTCCATTACCTTACAAAAAATTCTTCTGTGAGCTCAGTGTCTTGTCTGAAATATCTCTTATTACCTGGTTTTGATTTTTTTTTTCTGGTACATGTCTTCAGCTTCTTTATTTCTCTCTCTCTGTCTCTCTCTCTTTTCTTTTCTTTTAATCAAATGTTAGAAGGATTTTATGGTCCTCAACATGGATTTTTACATATAGAAAAATACCAGTTCCTGCAATATACTGGTATATCTTTCTGCTTCAATAAAACCTTAACCTCATCTGACTTTTCATCTATACACTATCTTACTCTGTTAGGGATTGATTTTCCATTACACTTGCTGGTCCTCCATCCTCTTTTGCTTCCTCTTTTTCATTAGTTAGGTTTGGAAAACTTGGATTGGGTAAACTCTTGCTTTTAGTGATAGTGAAGATTTCATCAAGAATTAATCTGAAGTACTTTAGGGAGTAAGTT